ACCTGTTTTGTCATGTTTAAATCTTTAAAATCGTGTCTGTATTTCAAACAGACATTCATTCAAATCATTGGTGGCTATCAGCTCCCTCCAGTGGGCATTTGTTAATCAGAGACATCGGAGATTGTCTAATTGCACCATACTGTAGTTTTGTTGTTGCATTTTAGCTCCATATTAGCATAAGCAGTGGCCAATTACATTTCCTTATTTGAGCTAAAACATTTTAGAGTTAAAACGTAGAATGTTCTGAGAGATTTGTAATGCTTCTCTCTTTTTTTCCACCCACACTCCACAGCCCTGATGTAATCTGCTCTCCTGTTATTAACCTGTTTGATAATTTTATATAAAAACAAGAAGAAAAAAAAAACAGAAAACATTTTAGTTTAAAACAGATTCATTCAATTTGTTTTACTTTAATTTCTTCTCCCCGTGTTTGTTGTCCTACGGGAACTTTTAAATGTCACCTTGTTCTTGTCACATTTTTTAAACCTGCTCTTTCTCCAAACTTTCTAACAATCCTCGGAAATGACCCCACTACCTCACCCCCTTACCAAAAACCCCCACCCCCGATGGAAACCTCTCAGCTCACAATGTGTGAGCATGTATTGGAACCAGTGCCGGAACTGTTTTATTGAAACTAAAAACACCACACTGACTGGACGGGACGTACACACAGGACCACGGCTGATCTGGTTACAGTTCATCCAACCCCAGATTTCTGTTGGAAATACTGTATCTCTGCAGTCATAATAAAGCAGAAGTAATTAAAAAAACTCAAAGTAATGTGATTTTTTTTTTAATTACTAATGTTTATTTACCAAATATTTCCAAGTCTTTGAAGGGGTCGTGGATTAACGGTCCTGAACCTCAACTTTTCCATATCTGGTCCTTACAAAGAAAGAGGACAGGATCAGGCACACACAAGGAGGAAGGAGCTTGTTTCTTCTTCCTGTGTTTTTATCACTTCTGCAGGAAGTGAATGACAACAGAAAAAAGGGAGAGAAAGAGCCAGAAGGAGGGAGAGGGAGACATTCATCTTTATTTACAAACCTATCCAAACATTTGCAAATTCTTTTGGACTTTAATATCAACTACAACCAAAAGGAACCTTGAAGGAACTTTGAAACTCATACTCCACCAGACACTAAAGGTATGAGTAATAAGACAAAAAAATAAAAACAAACATCTGTATTTAAATACAGTTGTATTTACCACACATTAAACACCATGAAAAACTTTAATGATGCTGGAGCAGCAAAGGAAACAGGAGGTGTGGTCTTTACCCTCTCTCTCTCTCTGTGTCTCTTCCTCTCTTATCCAGCTGTTTATAAGCAGCTGCTGGCGGCACAAGCGTCCACTCTCAAACATGAATCCGGTGAAAGAACTGCTGCTGATGCTGGTGCTGCTTCTTTTGGTCAGCGCTCGCTGTGAGCTGAGGAGGCTGGACCCAGATGTGGAGGAGGACGAGGAGGAGAAAATGCTCGGAACAGAAGCAGGAGCTCAGCAGGAGGAGACAGCAGCGTCCTCTGCGGAGGGAGTAAAGCCGAAATTCAGAAGAGGGTGAGTTCACATTTAATTTTATTAAATTTCATTTAGGTCAGCCTCAGGGTCGGAGGTTAATGCGACTTTGTAAAATGAAAAGTATACAGTAGCTGTAATGTAAAAATATGTTGATCCAACATGGCAGCCTTCATAATTTGTGACAATTTTCTGATGTGAATTTTAAAAGGATATTTTGAGGGCAATTGAAATATAGCAGCAGTGAAAAGAAAATCTATCTATATATTTTTAATGTTTTTTCTTTTTAAACTGCCATGAAAGTTTGATGGACATTAACAAAAAAATCAGTCAGATGAGAAAATACACATTGATTATGATGTAAAATGATGTTCTTACAAAGTACAATCGATGGAAATTAAAAACTGAAAATTACTATCGCAATAACAGGATCAAAGTAACTACACAGATATATCTTTTGACTATTAAATATCAAAAGCATTTTCACCTCATACATAAACAGAAGCTAATTTTAACATATACTTTGTCCTTGTTGATCACACACTACAAAATAACTAATACATTTTTACTTTTTGTCCGGTTTTGACACATTTCAACACAGATTTTCTTTACAGACAGTGTTGTGGTTTACAAACATAAACATAAAAGTCTGTCGTATGTTGGCCAGATGTTTGTTCATATGGTTTTTTTTGTTTTTTGTTTGGGTTAAGTGGCTTCATCAGTTTTCTTCATGTTTCCACTGATATCCCGACTTGGTCAGACGTCGTGGACAGCTCACAGAGTCCATCACTACTGGCTGTTTAAATGTGTGTGTTTGTGTGTGTGTAGATCGCAGCTGCTCACAATTAAGCTCAGTCACTTCATCTTCATCACGCATGTTTTCTTGTTTTTGTTTTGTTTTAGGTAAAACAGGTGTTTCAATGTTTAACTCCTGCATTTGTTTTTGTGATTTTTCACATTTTCTTAATGTTTCAGACTAAACACTGGGATTGAAATCTATGTTTTAGCCACTGTTTACAGAATCCTGATCCACATGATAACGTGCACACAGGTTTTTTTGTGTAAAACGATCCCAAGGGTCCTAATAAAACACACACATGCACGTGTGCATGAGCGTGGTTTGTTTTTTCTTTCTGGTGGTTTAGTGCTGGTTTTGTCTGGACTGGGCTCAGGTTTCAGGATTCAGGGTTTAGGATTTTGAGTTTAGATTGAAGGATTCAGAGTTTACCAGAGGTAGCTGGTGGTTTGTTTAGTTAATCAAGTTTGATGTCTGTCTGGATCTGAGTTTGTTTTCTAGATCTGACTTACAGACCACCGATCTGGTTCCAGTCCAGTTGTCTATTTTTAAACATTCTGAATGGACCCTGATTTATGAGAGCTTCATGTTCATCTACAGTACAGTGTGTGTGTGTGTGTGTACTGCTACCACGTTATAGACATGTGGGGATGCCTCAGCTGCTTTTACATTGTATTTTATCTGAAGCATCAGCAGTAGAATAAGACCAGCAGTTTTTGAAGCTCAGCATTATCTCTGCCGGTGCAGCAGGAAGGACCAGGATCAGAAGGATTTGAACAAAGATGGCCCTGTGCCAAGGTTTGGATCTGATGACATCAATTTGAGGTGTTATTCAGAGAAAAGATTATGATCGGCCTGACGATCTTCATTTTTTCTTAAAAAGCAGAATATGACTATGAGGGAGTTATGCTGTGGTTGGGCTGGTGATGGGTTGGTCTTTAACATGTCAGTGTTAACAAAACAACACAGGCATCTCCAACAGGAAACTAATGTTTGTGAACCATCTCCTCCTCCAACAGACAAAATCAGAGATTTTAGCTCAAAGACATGGAGTTGTTGACAGTTCAAATGAAAATTCTGTTTGAATGTTCGAATTATGTCATAACATCAGGATGTGGAAATGAGTTGAGGATTATCTTATATTCACAAATTTGAGTTTTTAACTGTTATATTATCAGATAACATTTTTAAATCTGAGATAAAAAAAATTAAACAAATAAAAACTAAGTATTATTAACATTCATTATTACTAAAATAATTTAAATATATTAATATTAATAATATTAATTATTCATAAACAATGAAACTTGAGCCCTGGGTAAATATACCTCTCTCCCTCACTCTGTAATGTTATGTATTGTTTGTGTGCCATGTGTCCAGTTCATGCTCGGTGGTGGATGTCTATGCCTCATAGTTTATACCTGGTTCCTGTGACCAAGTGAGTTTTGTAAATAAACCTGCTGCACCTGAAGAGAGTCTCCCTCGTGCTGCATTTGGGTCCTGCCTGCTTCCTGCTCTGCCAAAACACAACATAATGTCGACTGAATGGATACATTTTTACATGTAAAGCATATTATGTTACTGTGTTTTTTTCACTCAGTCCGGATCACAGACAATGCCTCCTGATGCCCTGAGAAAGGAACATGAAAGCAAACGTCAGGATATTTGTGTTGAACAAACGCTGAAGTAAACACTTTGGTCTAAAATTGTTTGTGTTTGCTTGTGTTTAGGAACTGGTGTGCATATGTGCAGAAGCATGTCGTCACCAGGTCAGTGAAGTGTGCAGTAGAAAGGTATTCAATCAAATCCCAGACTCCATGTTCTAGTGGAAATCCAAACTGTGAGATGATCATGTGAGTGCAAACTTAACATGCGTCATTGTAAATTTGTGTGTCAATTATTAATTATTTTAAATGTTAACTATAAAAAAATTCTGAAAAAAATACATAAAAATCTGTCACAGATTCGTATTTGATGTAAACCTTAAGAGATCATTCAAATGTGAGGTGAGAAGAGCTTTTTTTAAAGCTTTATCATTAATTTGGGAACTTCTTTTTTTTTAGATTTTTGTAGGAAATTATTTGCATAGATGTCAGTGTTGATCAATGATGATTTTCCAAAAAAATATTATTTTTTCTAAATTTTAAACATTGAAATGGGCTTAGCTACACCTCTTTGGCATTTTAGAGCATTTTTACAAATGTTTGGGAATATTTTATTTTTTAAGAGTTTTTTTGGGAAATCTTTTGCATAGATATCAGTGTTGATCAAAGGTGGGTGTTCAAAAAATATCATATTTTCTAATTTTTCAGTATTGAAATGGGCTTAGCTACACCCTTTTGGGCATTTTAGAGAATTAAAAAAAAATTTTGGGAACATTTTATCTCTGACATCTGTGTGTTTCTGGGTGTGTGTGTGAGCAGGTACAAACTGTCCAAACGTCCTTTATACACTGTGGAACAAAAGACAGTAACAGATCTTCAGTGGCGTTGCTGTCCTGGTCACTCAGGAGACAACTGTGAGGTCACAGGTGGGCAGGTCACTGTTGCCTTGGTAAAATTAAATTGACATGATGTGAGTAAACATTTTCTATTTTTCTTCTTTTTTGTGTAAAATGTTAAAATCTTACTTGTTTACAGCTTCTGATTCTCAGTCGGTTACTGAAAGCACAAGCCAAGGACCTGAACCTGGAGGAGCACCAATCCATAGTCCAGGTCTCAAACACACCACACACACTGAGGCCTCTAGTTTTCCTCTCTGTAAACAGAAAACCACATTTTTAGCCTTGCAGCAAAAATAACAATGAAAATATTTGATCAGAATAGACTGAAGGAAATGCATTAGAAATGTATTTATGGAGCAGAAGTTATGAGAACCAAGATTTCTACATAAACACACATCCTTAAACAGCCTTTCCCGTTAACTCGATCAATGATATTTAAAGTCATTTCCGCAGCTAAAAACCTGACCCTAAAAATCAGTTCAGCTCTCCATGACATTGACATGAGCCACAGAAATATTCACAATGGAAGAAATAGTCCTGAAAAACTGATACGTAGTAGAACTCATACTCCCATGCATAAATACCCCCCCACATAAGCACACACACACGCCCACAGCCACTTCCTGTGCAGTGATGGTGATGCCATTAACAATATCAGGAAGTTGGAATTTAACATGAGCTCAGATTAGATCCTGACTCAACTTTTTACAAAAAAATAAAACAAAAGGCTTTCCATTATTTTGGCCTACTGGTCAACAGTAGGTCCAGTTCCAACAGTTAACTATACACATGATGTGACTCTGAAGGTAAAACTGCTCACGAGTTATTGGGGGCATTTCCCTTTTCCTTTTAACTTCCTGTCTCTTATACAGGGTCGAAGCATGACATCATCAGAAGACACACACAGGCCAGGGCTTTTTCCCATCACCCCCCACACAGTCTCTGTCTCTCTTCCTCTTCCTTTCGTTCATTCCTTCTTGACTCTTTGTTTCCATTTAAGGTGGATGTCAATAACCAACTTCAACTGTGAAACAACCAGTTAAAAATAAATCCCAAAAACTGTGTTGTCACCGATTGTGCGTTTTAGATGTGCAAGATGAGCAGAAGAAAAACCAGGAGCAGAATGACGCCCAGAGCTACCATTATATATCACAACCACCTGCTAACCTGTACAACAATCAATATGTTCACCAGCAACCAAGTCAACATCTGGGTGAGTTTTAACGACGGGACAGAGAACTAACTAGTAGAGCTAAATGTGCTATTGAAGCTAAGAACTAACAACAGTATTTTTTTACTCAGGACAAAAGTTCACGACATCCATGTCAATGACTTTTTCCTCTTATCTCTGCTGGTCAAATTGTGACAATATTATGACAGCCACAAACAAAAGAGAGTTTATGTAACAGAAGAACAGGAAGTTGGCAGGTTATTAGAGGTGACAGCCCCGCCCGCTGTTGCGACCCATCACTCCACTCTGACCTCTGATCTCTGCGTGACCCACAGCATCTGGAGAAAATTAGTCTTTATGTACACACATGTGCCGTGTGCTTCTGACTCATTTGCACCTTGGTTTATTTAGCCCTAGCTTCACCATCTCACCAGAGGCATAGTTCTGATCTGGAATCAGTGGTCACTTTAGAATCACCAAACTGACACATTATAAAGTCCTGTCTTCATCACCACGTAAACTAAACACAGTTCCATTCTCCATTTCAGTCCTGTGTGTTTTACAAATTTTCAATACAAATTTTTTCTTGGTTGGTAATATATGACCCTGCAGTAATCTCTAACCCAGGAGCCGCTGACGTCCTCCTCGTCCCTCACATAATGGACCTGGTGAAGTCGCAGCTTCAGCCGGTCCTACAGGGTTTCAACAGTTCTCTGGAGCGCCTGAGTCGACAGGTAGAGGACCTGAGTCGTGACGTGGCCCAGCTGAACAGCAGCCAAAAGCTTCAGGCATTTTCTGGGACGGCAGAGATGACAGAGAGTGACGATGCGGTAGAGGAGCGGTTGGACACCAAACTGGATGAAGTGTATGACCAAATCCAGGAGGTGCGGGAGCAGATGAGGAGTCAGATCACAAACATGGAGAACAGGCTCCACTCACAGCACGCGATGCTGCACTACAACCTCACCAGCTTCAAGATAGACATGGACATGAAGTTGAAACACCAGCACAAGGTGCTGCAGGTGAGTGGACGAGGAGGAAGGAGTAGGAACAACAAAATAGAAATGTTACAAATAGTCACTCTGAGCCACACCCCTGGTCCCAGGTCAGTCTGCAGGCCATGAACAGCACTCTGTCCGAGCTGAAACTGGACCAACGTGAGACCACACGGGTGGAGCCGGTAGACCACCTACAACCTCCGTCTCAGCAACACGCTGATGTGTCCCCACTGTGGCAGGCCATTAAACGCTTGGACGACATGGTAGTCAACAACACAGTCAAGGTGGGTGGAGTTCACTTTTAAATTATAAATAAAAAAAATTTAAAAAAAGGTTTACTCTCTCACACACACACACACATTTTTAACAGTGGTTTAAATGTGTTTTTCCTGTTGGATGATAATGTTCGATCACCTGATGTGCAGGTGGACGGGCTGATGGAGGACGTGGACGTGACCTCTGGGGAAGCCCAGCAGCTGAGGTTTGACTTGAAAGACCTGGAGAAGCTGATCAACAACACCGCCCGTCGCAGTCAGATCCTGTTCATGGAGACGGGGCTTGAGGTGGAGGAAGGCAAGGTCTCGGTGCTGAGGGAGGTTGAGGAGCTCTCGAGGAACATAAGTGTGCACGCCAAGCTGCTGCAGGAACTGGACGTGGACATGGAGTACCTGTACAGCACCCTTTACCAGAACCGCTCCACTGCCAACTGCAACTGCAAGAGCCTGACCCTCTCTCTCAGCAGACTGGAGATGGTCGTGGCCAATGTGTCAGCCCAGGCCAATGAGAACAGTTTAGCCTTGGAAGACGGGAAGCCCTGGGCCAACGACTGGGAGCCAACCATGGCGGTGTTACAGCACAACATGCAGCAGGTAACAGAAACACACACAATGAGTAATAAACCACATGTAAAAAAAACAACTTAGAGAGAGAAAAAAAGTACCTGCCATTTCTTTGGTTTCTGCATCAGTTCCTGGTAAAAGTTTTGAAGTTTTGTCAACGGTTGACATTTCTGAAATGTCTGTATCGACACATGACAGTAACAGAACCCGAAATACATTAAACCTACCTGTTTGTCTCCAGGTGAAGAAGTCACTGGACTTGGAGCAGACCAAGACCAGCAGTCTGGACCAGAGCCTGTCCCAGCTGAACAAGTCAGTGATCGCGGTCCAAGCTGTTGTCCGTGGCCTGGAGAAAAGAGACCGGCAGGTCAGGGAGGAGATGCAGCTTCTCTCCGGCTCCTTCAACTCTCTGCTACAAGACACCAGCCGTCACAACGACGTGCTGGAGCTTCTGCTGAGCGAGGAGGTGCAGGAGTTCCTAGAGTGGCCTGTCCAGGACCAAGAAGGAAACTCCATCCCAGCCCTGAAGGAAGAGCTGAGAAACCTGCAGGAACAGCTGAACAGCAGAGCAGGTATCACATTCTCAGTCTGACACAACAAATCCCAGATAGAAATTTTCGTGATTTGTGACATTTACATCAAATTTTAACAACTGTACCAGTACCTACTTGATTTTATGAAAAGTTTTTATAAATTTTCTGAATTAAGAAGCAGAAGAGACGGCCAATCAGAAAAAAGAAAAAATGATCATCATTAGAGACAGAGTTCCATAAATGATGGGAGGAAGAAGCTTATATTTAGTTATTGTTGATTGACTGCTGCACTCATTTCTCTTCATTGTGTTTTCAGACGATCCCTCCTCTGTCTTCTTCTCTGATGATGGGAGGAGCAGCACTGGAGGAGCTGTCAGGGAGCACCAGCGTCTCCACAACACCGACAGGACACATTTAGATGAAGATGGTAGTGACCTGTGGAACCTGGAGAAACTGGTGGAGGAGCTGAGGCTCAAAGTTCACAAGTTGGAGGAGAAATCCTGCTCCTGTCCCAACTCTTCCAGTGGAAAGGACGTAGAGTCTGACGGTGCGGACAAGAAACTGCAGGCGGAGGTGATGTGGCTGAAGAGAGACCTGGAGGAGCATCTGAGGACGTTCAAGAATGTCTTCAGCAATGCTGACATGCTGGCAAGTTCAGACGCTACAGTGGAGCTCGATAAGCTGTGGATGCTGCTGAAGAACCGAGGTGGGAAGAAGGACAAGAGACAGAGAGGAGAGAGGGAGGGCCCGGGGTCTGTGAGGGACGGGTCAAAACCAGGTGAAGAAGGGAAGCTGAGAAGCAGGAGGGATACAGGTAAGTGCATTTCCATCCTGTTACTAATTAAAGAAATTACTGTAACTAACTCTGGGGAAAGGTCATTGTGTTTGCTCATTTCTCACTTCTCTCTCTTCCTGTAGGTGGCGCTTCTTTGCCATTTGGTCTCCCGAATGACTCCCTGATGTTTGTGGCTTCTTTGAGCCTCTCAGATGATGTTGTGTTTTATGAATCGTCTCTGAATCGTGGATATTTCCATCCTGACACTGGTGCCCTCACTGCTCCAGTTGACGGGCTGTACCTCTTCATCCTCACCTTGGAATTAAGGCCTGGTCCTGCCACGGTGATTCTGAGGAAGACGGCGAGTGGAGCTGCTTTCCTGCTACACAAACAGAATGTGGCTGCAGCAGAGACCAGACCAACCACAGGTTTAGGTCTCCTGAGGTTGAAAGAAGGGGAGCAGGTGATGCTGGAACTGAGAGGAAGAGCAAGTCTTGCATCACAGGACAATGTGTTCACTGGGTTGTTACTACATTCGGCCACCTGAGGACACTGCCCACAGGAAGAAAAATATAATTTGGTTCCAAATGTACTTTACAAGACTTTCCAAATGTACTTTACAGAAATGTGACAACACTGACATTAACAGCAGACAAGCTCAGCAGCAGCTAAGCAATACATGTGCAGATTGGCAGTTCAAATATGACAGCATTACTTAGTCTAAAGAACTAAGTTTTTCTATTTGTTGTCAGTGTTGTGTCACGTGGCTGAGAGGGAGGGCCAATGATTGTAAACTCAACAGAACAAATGGCAAGTTGCAATAATGTTTTTAAATCTGGACACTCAGACATACAGTATGTATCTGTGGCTAAAGTGTTGTTTTTAAATTGATGATATGATTTTTTTTTCTTCTGCAAAATAAAGTTGACTGTCAGACAGGATCAACTGTCAGTCAGCTGATCTGGTCTAATAATGTTAGTGTTAAACGTTATGAATGCTGCAATAAAATATTACATTAAGAAACCATTCTCCACTCCTAGTTGTAAGAACAGCACCTCGGCCCAGAACTAGCACCAGGACCAGAGAAACCCCATTACAACACTTTATTCGTTATCTATATCAACTCCACAATTCTTAGAAAAATAAGCATCAAAATACAGAATAACATTCAACAAAATAAAATTTTACTTAACCAAAAATCTACATGATCAATATCAAGTCGGTTCTAAAAATAGATGAATGTGGACACTTTTCAGAAAATATTAATTTACCCATATAGCACTTCTAACTTGTATTTCTTTACCTATTTGATATGTTAAAAGAATAGTCACGACTTTGTACCTTAAAGGCACCGTTCAGGCTTCTGTGTTTTTTTGAGGTACAGCTCAGGTTTGGGTATGTTTGTTTTGCTTTACGTGGAGTGATAGGTGGGTAGGGTCAGAAAATAACATTTTAAGAAAGAAAGATTTTTTTTTTAGCACTTCAGAAAATAAATGTAGAGAAACACAGTGGAGTCACTGCAAAATTGAGGCTTACAGTCAAAACACAGTCAGATGCAGTACAAGAGCGAAGTCAACTGCATTTGTTGGGATTATAGTAAAACACTGATAAACCCAGCTGCAAAACACAGCTAAAGGCTGTAAAAACAGTCAAACTGCTCTAATAAACATCTTTATATGTGAGAGTAGAATAGAACATTCATGCTAAATATTAGCTGCTAATGTCATCAAAGTAAAGCGGTTTCATTTACAATTCTCCAAAAGAGAAAGAAGGAACGCAGGTTGGTCTCAGCTGGATGCAGGCGAGGCTTCACGCGTCATGTGACCAACCCACTGCAGAAAGGCTGAACAGGTGTACAGGAGTACAATTAAACCCTACATGACTGAGAACAGTATAAACAAACAGGAACCAGTGGGGAATCCACCTTCTGTCTCTAGGCTACTAGGCTTTCGTGTACTTCATTTCTCCTGGTGAGGATTACGCACACGTCTGTCATTAAATATTATTTCAGAGAAAATCAACTACAGTAGATAAAATGAAGGTCAACTTGTTTTAACCAGAGAGTTCAGACATGACCTTGTCCAGAGGTCAGAGGAGGTGTAAGGTACTTACACACAGTCAGTACTAAAACACCGAGGCTTGATTCAAAATACAAACGGAGCCACCATGAAGACCAGACTGTTGGGAGGATAGCTTCACGACTTGAACTCACTGTTAGACCAATCTTCAAATTAAAACCAATTGTCAGCAAATGTGTTTGTACTTTAGCCTGGGGTCTAAGCATCAGGCCTGATCAGTTAACATGCCAGGCTCAAGTGCATGAGCCTGGCACAAGAGCTGTGGTGATGGTACTGCTTAGCAGGAGGTTCCTGGCAGAACAAGCAGATCAAAAAGTCCCTGTGGTGGAGAAAAGGTGTTAGTCTGCTGACCTTGTGTAACACAGTGCTCTCAGGAAGGACTGAGCTGAACCGTCCTGGTCTCAGAGTCACGGTGCCAGTCCATCTCAGGTGATGTGTCTGGAGGAAGAGGCTGGTCACTGGGCAGTGACTGACGTCTACAGTGCCTGCCACCTGCTGTGACGGTGTTTACAAAGCGGCGTGGATGGAAAAGCGTCGCGTAGAGACCATGTGAACCAGCAGAGGGAACCTGGCTGCGCTGGTGGAGGACGGTGGAGGACGTGGAAGAAGGAGGGGTGGCGCGGGGAAGAGCCCGGGGCAGCGTGGTGTAACTCAGTGCAACACTGTTGACACCATTACCTAATGAAGTCTGATAACAACCCTGGCGTCCACGTCTGGGTTCTAAGGAAGGAACAGGACGAGAAAGATGGAAAATAGGTAGGAGCGAGTGGAATGGGTCTTATTAGATTTTCTTTACAAATACAATTTCATGACATTTCTCAAATCTTCTAACAGATAGGAATGATAAATATTATTTTCAACTGCATTTGAGGGCCATCTGCTGTCAGAAACTGCCTGAGGCTGAAAACTCATGGATTCAGTTTCAATATTTTTCTGCCCTCGGACTAAAAGTATGGAAAGATGGACAGAAACAGAATCCTATAACTAACAATTCAGAAACATTTTAAGAACAAAATGACTAGACAGCGCTGATGTATAAAATCCAATCCATGTCCTGTCAATGAGAATGGGACAAAAATCACACAACACTAGAAAGCCAGGGAGGAGCAGCCAAACTGTACCTGTTTGACTCCAGTTGGAAAAACTCTGGTTGTAAGAACTCGATGTCTTTGTCGGGGGGCGCTGTGGAGCAGGTGAAAGACTGGGGTTGTCAAAGGAGGGATTTGTGCAAGGATGAAGCTTCAGGGAGGAGGTGCGAGTATGACTGGGGGTGCGGGAGGGGTGGAGGTCAGGGCCAGGTTTCAACTGAGGGGAAAACTTCAGAAAAAAAAATAAAAATTAGAGAATATATCAAAAAATAATATGAAGATGACAATTATGAAAAGGAGTTTTGGAAACAAATAAAGACACAAATCAAAAAACAAACAAGCAGCAGTCAGTGTGGAATAATGTATGTGTGGTAACCTGTGTTATCCATGGACAAAGGAGTGGGATGAGCTTAGGTTCTGCAACGTCACAATTCTGACTGTGTGCGTTAATGGTGTTAGTGGGTGACATACAGCAAAACAGGAGGGAGTCTGGCTCTGTGGACGTGGTCCGATGATTAAACTGTGGGTGAGTCGTCTCAAGTTCTCAGGACTATTCAGGTCTTCACCTGCAGGGGGCTGGAGAGGAAACAACACAATAAGAAAACTGAGCTTAGGGTCGTGACCTGAACCTGGAGGATGTGACCTCAGCTTTTACCTGATGTACAGGTGATGCTGATCTGTAGACAAGTCTCTCCTTCACCGGCATCGTTTTTGAACCTGATTCTGATCCTGACAGGGATCTGAACGCAGCTGCACACACACACAAGATATGAAAAACAAACTAACAGCAAATTGCTGTTGAGTAAACAGCAACAATCTCTGACCCAACATTTCCATGCATTGTTTTCTTACCTGGTCTGTTTTTGTTTAGCTGAGGTTTGAGTTGGTGTCTTTCCCCGTGCATGCTGGGAGCTTGCAAACTGGCCTGGTACAATAAATCCAGCTCTGAAGGTCCCTCACCAGGGGGCGCCGTTTCCCCTTCCAATTGTGCATTTTTGGGAACAAAGTGTCTACTGGCATTTTCCAGCCAGCACTCTGAGGGCAGAGAGGAAGAGAGGACTTCCTGTTTAGAGGGTGGAGACATCACTGGACCGGAAACTCTGACCACAGGAGGCGATGTTTGAGGGCTTGTGTCAGCACAGTCATACAGTGGTGGTGTAGTTTTAGACGGGGGTTCAACATGATCAATGAGAGGGGGCGGATCCTCAGGAGCCAAGTGAGAAGGATCATCAAGAATCTTCGTCTTCATCAGGCGACAGGTGTTGTTTGAATTCACTGGTGATGAGGTATGACGCTGCAGCTTTGTTGAGGGTGGGGCTTGTGCTCGAACAATGACAGGAGGTGCTGTCTTCCACTGTGTGGAGGGCTCTGTGGCCTCTAATGTAGGGGCCAGGGGAGGAGGAGTGTTTACACACTGAACAGGAAGTGTTTTCTGAAAATGACCACAGGAGCTGATAGTCCTGGTGTCGTCCTTAGGAAATTGTGACACTGCACCACAGGAGAAAGGCTCGGATGATGCTTCGTGTTGGGTGGAGAGGGGCTTAGGAGGGCATGCAGGACGAGATGGAAGCTGATCAGCTGACTGGTCACTTCCTCTGTCTGTCAGAAGTATTTGGAGCGGGAGAGGCTTTTCACTGTGAGGAAGAAACAGAGAGTTTAGCATTTCACTCATTTGACTCTAAGGTGAGACAAGAAGAGAAAGAAAAAAAGTGTGCTTTCACTTAACATGTCTAACTGTTCATTGTTGCAAAACACAAAAATCTAGTGCCTGACCTTCCCACAATTCCATGTTTAATATTTATTTATGTGTTTAATATTTCCTGTCATTCAACTTTTGGTTTAACTGAGGATTCCTAATAATATTATCAAATAGCTGCACTATGGAAAGGGAAAAACTGACAGTGGTTACAGCTTTAACCATGGGCCAGACACACACAATGTCACACATATGGAGTATGATACAAAAAAGTGTTAAACTTATTATTATTATTATTATTATTAATATAATATTTCTTTGGATCTAAACAAAACTAGCAGCTCACGTTGCTAATACTGAAAATGCTGCATTCTACTGAAAAAACATGACTCAGGGAGAAAGATTGCTGGTGTTAATATTGAAAGACATTTGTTACTAAGGCACACCCCCTGCTGGTGAGGTGAGAGCACTACAACCCCAGAAAGAACAGAATTATTAAGTGTAAATCTGAATGTAAATAATCATTACTCTGTGTTAAACATGAAGGAGACTGGGCCATTAGATGGCGCTGCACGGTTTCGAGTTCCTGTGGATCTAAAAATGCTTTTTAAAAAAAAAAAGTTAAAACAGTAGTTGGATCTTTATGACCTGAAAACTGACAATGAGTGGATCCTAGATGGCATCTGATTGGCTGTGCCTCAACTATCTGTACCTGGTGGAATTCTGAAGCTCCTCCTCTTCCTGTTGCTGTTGTCTGACTGACATGCGCTGCTGTAGACTGTGAGCTCTCCTCAGGCTACGCTGCAGCCTTGTTTGACTACTAGCGCCACCCACAGACAGAGCTGGCCGCAGTTTGGCTGTAGCCATGTTACATGACAGGTCACATGACAGTGAAAATGTTAAAACAGAAACAAACAATGGAGAAAATGAATGCAATATAAAGATGAGGATAAAAATGTTTTTACTCAATAAAAAAAAATCTTAAAACTATAAATGAAGTGAGAAATCAAAACAAAAACTGTCAAAGGTGTTCATAAAATAAAGAAATAGGCCTTCAGAAACCCATGAAATCAACCTAACCAAAACAATGAATGTGAATGTTGACCATTTCAGCTCACAGGGACAAAGCAGCAGCTGCTTCCTCCTATGGTAAGTTTGTGTGGCCGGGGTAAAACTGTTCAAATATTTGTGATGAAGTTATAGAGTTACAGTTGATGGAGGCATGAGTGGCTGCACTGTAACGGGAAATGTCTGTACTTCCTTTCTTCTCTTGCACTTTAGTTTAGTTTCACTTTTCTCGTAGTAAAGAGTGTTTTTCTTTCATTCCAGGTTCGTGAGACCCTAGAACTGCAGGGCTTGATTCAGATCAGACACTGCCGTCAATATTTATGTTGTTAATTCAAATAAAATTGACTTCACTAAAATATATGTAAAGCGCAGAGGTGGGTTACTGTTTGTGGGTGTGGCTTACAGACTGCTTCATTGACAGCTGACAGAGCAGCAGTGACGTCACCCCCCTGCTCCAGACGCACTGATTGGTCCAGAAGAAGTTCTGCCTCTGACACATGACGCTCATATCTATCATCTCTACCTGTAAGTTCAGCACATGTTCACATTTGGTTTAGACACACACGCTCATCTGCAGTATAAACATGTGTGTATCTGTGTCAGTACATTTGTATGGACACGTGTGTTACCTTGGACCTGCAGCTGGTCCAGGACCTGGTCCAGGTCCATGTATTTACTGGGTCGTGGGTTAAAGCCGTGCTCCAACTCCTTCTCCTTCTCTTGCCGCTGCTGTTGCTCCTTCTCTTTTGCTTTCCGTAGCACCTCATCCTGCAGCTCATCCAGCTCACTGCGGCCACCAGCAAGAACTGCTCAACACACACACATGGACACACAAAAGAATGTTGAGCTCTAAGCTAGGATGATGTTGATAATGAAGACGGTCAATAAAAGTTGTACCATGGCTCCCTCTGTTGGCAGAATGAAGCTCCTGCAGCAAAGCGCCACTGCTCTTTGACCTGATGTTTCTCCAGGATTGGGTAGAGGAGGAGGAAGATGAAGAAGTTGATCCAGTCTTTACAGGAAACTCTCTAAGAAAAAAACATGTGTACATATCTGTTAAAAAACTGATAAACACACACACAGATCAGGTTGCAGAGTCCTCACCTCTCTCCCAGATTGAGGTTTAGGTCCAAGTTCAAGTCAAGGCTGATAGGACTGTTGCTGTTTCTCTCGCTGCTTTCATAGCCACTCTCCATCCTCTGGATCAGCCCATGAGAAGGGGCACAAGGAAGAGTAGCAGGGATCTCTGCGCCTCCCCCTGCTACTGATCTGTGGCTGCTGAATGTGGAGAGAGTCCTGGAAAAACCAGGCCTGAAAGTGAGCGGCTTCTGTGGAGCTTTGGATAAAAACTCGACATCTTTAGCTGATGTTACAGAGTCGTCGAACAGCGACGAGCTGAGCTGGCTGTATCCTGCCTGGCGTCGTCTCGTAAAGATGTTATCAATGTTTAGAGCTTCTCTTCGGGGTTTCCATGCAGGCCGATTTCTGCCTGATCCCGATCCAATAGAGCTAGACTTGGACTCACTGCTTGTGCTACCGGCCTCCCAGTCCTGTGGTTTACTAGAGAAGCAGTGAGGGGAGGTGGAAAAGGCCTGCTGGGAGCTACTGTAGGAGGTGGAGCTTTCAGAGGAGTGGTCAGGAACAGGAATTGAAGCGGAGGAAGAAGAAGAGGACAGGGTCCGACTATGTAAGATGTTGCTCATGGTCTCCTTCAAGTCCCTGAGGCGACTGGTGGAGGAGGTAGAGGAGGAAGATTTTGGGAGGTGACGAGAAACCTGCTGCTCTTTCAATGTCTCTCCTGAGGGAGGCAGGAGTCAGGGGATAAGGAAAAAAAAATCAAGAAAGAGATAAATACAGAGATGAAGTTATGAATAAAATATTTCTTTTTTTAAAAAAGGAAAGTAAAAAAAGATTGTATGCTCATTTTCTGAATCTGCCCACAGTACGACAGTATGACAACAACATAGAGGTGCTCCGAGAGATTTTTTACTATATTACGTTTTTTAAATTTCAGATAAAAAAAACCAACTAAAAAATATATCTCTGTCCTGTGATTGGCTGCCTCCATGGCAGTGGCCTGACAAATCTTTACTTTCAGGATTGCAAACTTCTAAGCAACTACAGTACCGACCCCTGACATCCTCATGTTAAACTCTGTCATCTGCCCACTAGGCAGAGGGCTCCATCATATCAATCTCAGTAGAGTAGATCACACAGAACTGTTTTTGACTGATAGTACCTGGGAAATGCACCTAAAATTTCCCAGGCTGTCAAAAAAGTCAGTCAAAAAAGATAGCCAATACTTGGTCACATGATCAACAGTACCTAAAACCACCACACATATGGTAACAAAAAAATCATCTGCTGTTAGTTTGGTCAAAAACAGCCAAACTTTTTTTCTGTTTATCTCAGTGACTTACCAATGATCTCTGAGCTGCAGAGCGAGGTGTGCGGCGCCTCCTCTGGCTGGTTCCTGCTGGTGACTGAGCCCTGACAGTCGGAGGAACAGTGACTCATGACAGACTCAGAATGAGGTCGTGTGCGGCATCGATATGAAGAACTTTCTGTGGAGGAGTCGGTGCGTGTGTCACTGCAGATGGAGGGCTCACGGCCTAGAAGGTTTTGGAGACACGTGAGGGGAGAGGAGGAGTCGGCTCAACTTTTAATAGCTATTTATAACAGCACTGGTAAATACTACATTACACCAATGCACAACTGCTACCACAACTATATATAAACACATGTCAAGTACAGTGTAGGTATCTAAGCATTATCTGGTCTGCTATCACTATGGCGTACAGCTGCATTATATTTACCTGAGTCCTCACTGTCGCAGTCGCTCTTTGTCATCTGCTTCAGGTCCAGACACGAAGTTGTGTCGTGGACAGACACCGGTGTTCCACGAGGATCAGCGTAGAGCAGTAGCAGTGGCTGGTAGTGACCTTTAATACAGCGAGAAACCACGTCCTTCCACTTTGGACCAATCTGCAGAAAACAGAAATATATACAACTGTGATGAAAAAAACACACAAAACACGTTAGGAGTTAAAAACACAAATGTGTGTTCATATCTCACTGTTTGAATTAGAGATGAATCTCTATTATTCATCTATCATGTCTATCTAGATCCATCTATTGATAAAAGACAGTAGGATGTGAAACTCAGAAAATCTTCCCTCAGTAGCTGCAGATGTGGGTCATTGTGCATTAGTGCACACAGGCACATTTCACTTAAATTTTTTTGCCTTCACCTGGAAAACACCCGTCAGAAAAACAGAAATGTTCCAGAAATTGTTCAGGCTGTTCGATGGAAAACACTCCAGTCTCCTGCTGACGCTCCACTCCTGTTTTTGTAAAATCCTCTTTCTATTATTTAAAAAAAATCCATGCTTCAAAAGTTGCTTCGAATTCAGTCAAAAGATCAAAGTAATATATTTATATATCCCAGCTCCAACCGTCAAGTATATGCTGTTCAAATGTCTGTCAGAGAAAAAGGCACAGATACAGCAAAGTAACTTTGTCTGTGTGTGTGTCTGTGTGTGTGTGTGTGTTCTGACCACTCCCTCACTTCTGCCCAGAACTGACAAACAATAGATGGACTTCCTGCTGTTTTTATGACCAGTTCAGAGATAGTGCATGTGTGTTTGTGTGTGTAAGAGAGAACCAAAAAATCATCATCATCTAAAATGAATTTAAATAAGATAAAATTTAAACAAAATACAGAAAACATTATAATTAATCAGTAAATTGTTAAGATTAAACATTAATAAATAGAGATGTGATGAAATCCTTAATAAATACCCGTTTTATTTCTTAGCTTAGTTCAATGAAGTCTTATTTTTGTTATTTTAATTAATAATATTCTAATAGTGTAATTTCTGTTATTAGTAGTGCATGTCTTTTAGAACGATCTAGAGAAAAACAAACAATCAATATCTGAGATTTTTTGACTTTTAACGTTTCAGGTGTCAAACTTTAATCTCTAATTAAGAAAAGTTCAAGTTTTTCATTCACCTCTTTCACATGAGCGTCATCAAAGTACATCCATCGTCGAATTTTTGTCTGGAAGAAGAAGGTGGAGTAATGTTTCCCATAATAACAGACCATACCCACCAGGTAGAGCTCTGAGTGACGGGCCTTGTCCTCTGTCACCCTGTAAAACAACTGCACAGAGAAAGGGAGAGGTAGAAGGAAAAGAGAAGAAGAAGAGGTTATGGTTCATTTAACTTTATTTTCACTTCAACATCACCTTCTTCTTTTATCATCACTTCTTACATCCCCGAGACGCAGACACGTTCCCAGTGTGTGAATGACATCTTCAGCCAGATCTGAGTGATCGGAGTCCCAGACCAGACCGATGGTGATTATCTCTGGACTATTGAGAAGAACACGTCCCATTCTGAGCTGCTGACCGCAACGACTCTGAGGTGATGAGGAGAGTAGAGAAACACAACTCTGTAACTGAATTTAGCTCATACACAGAAAACAATTTATGACCATTGAGTGTTGCGGTCTTACAGGACAGTGGCGGAGATCTCCCATGCTGGCGTTTCTCAACAACTCTCCAAACATGCTTGGAGTGGCTTTCTGTCTCGACTCCAACATCTTCACCGCCTGCTTACTAAGGAACAGGAACAACAATAGCTCAACAATTAGACTGAATTATACTTCAGTCACATACGTACAAACACTTACCATAAGGATGTGGTGGAAATGTAGTGAACCATTTGAATGAAGGACAAAGGATCTGAAGAAGCTCCACAGCTGCTGCATACACACTGACACACACACACACACACACAGACAGAGGTCTAACATCAGTAACATTATAGTGACCACACCAGAGGTGATAATGGAGGTCTTGAACAAACTAGCTCTAATTCTTTACTCTGATGTACTTTCTACCTGTTCATAAAGCATCATGGCAAACTTCTGGTGAGGGATACAGTTCATGGCCGTGCACATGTCTTCCTTACTCTCCTCAGAGATGTGGAAGTGAATCCTCATCAGGATGTGCTCCTGCAGACAAACATGTCATTTGTTTCTATTAGAAAGCTGAGAAATTCCCTTGTAAGACAATAAAATAGAAATCACATAGAAGTTAATTGCCATTGTGGCAACAGCTGCGAAACTCATTAAAACTACCTAATGAAGCTGACACAAGATGCCAGAAGGGGGAGACACAGCTGCATACAGCAGTGGAAGAACAGGGATGAACATTTTGTTTAAAAGTGTACTGTTCTATTTTCAGCTGAATTGCATCAGTCAGTGGAAAAGAAGCTTAAAATCCAACCTTCACCAAACACACGAACAGATGAGAGAACACTGACAGTATTGTGTGTCTGTGTGTTTGTCTTACAAAACATTCTGCTGCATCATCCATTATTCCCAGCTGAAACATTTGCTTGTCCTGAAAGGTTTTGGCGAGGGCACTGCGAAAAGCATCGGATGGTAAAACTCTGCTGCTGCTGAACTGGAACTGTGCAAAAATGCTCTGGAAACAAGAGGTCAGAGGTCAGAGACAAAGGTTGTGGTAACAAACAAAGCAGGATGGTTGGGGTCAGGTCTAATTTTTACCTTCAGAGCGCAGAAAATACACGAGTCTTCAACACACTTATGAGTTGTCAGTTGACGAAAACTACGACGGAAGATGTCGAGGTGCCATAGAACCTGAGCCAGACAGAGAATATTAGGAGGGAATAAAAACAAAACATGACTTGAAGGATGTACAGATTTCTTCCTGGTAAAAAGTTTTTTTTAATCCCCAACTCTGCAAAAATACTAAATACTAAATAGCTCAATATGTGAATCAATTTTGTTTTCAATATTAATTGTGGAACTTAATTCTGCTTTAATTTATATTTTTAATATAAACAACATACACTGTGTATAAGATCCTCCATTCTTTGACCAGTAAGGGAATTTTTAAGAGGGTCATTTTCATTTTAATACTAATTCTAAAACTATGCACTGAGAGAGGTGTGTTCTGTGAATTTGAGCTATACAAACGCATTTTACTCGACTAAACTATTTTATCTTAGATGATTGAAAGGACCTTGTAGTTTTCTGTGTTGTTACTGAATCCACTTACCTTCAGCTATCACACAATTATATTCAGTGTGTATGGGAGTATTAGTGTAAAATCAGGATGGGTAAACATGGCAGCCTCCATAGAGAATGAAGGAGAGAATTAAATTAACAAAGGGATCATCCTGGAGTAATGAAAGCAGCCATTTATGCTTTGAGCCAAGGGTGTAATCATTCTATATTACATTTCTACTATTAGAGAAAATCAAACAGAATTGTCCCAGTAAATCACATCTACACACAAACAACCTCATACAAATACAGTGATAGATTCCCTACCTTTGTATACCCATATCCCAAACCCAATTAAAATTCTAATCCATCCCCTAACCCTAATTTCAGAACAATCCAGACAAATTAAAACTTCAAAAATGTCCTCAAAAGGATGAAAACAGTCTGTGTACATGTCCCATCAATAATGGTTTTCACTAAAACCAACCCTCACCTCCTTAGAACACACAGATATTGCATGCTCAATACATCCTGGTTGTTTAACCGATTTCTTGCAGGGAGCAACTGACACACACAGGCTGGCTCTAATGGAAAAAAGTAAAATCTCTTCACTGCTTTCACTAACTATTAAACACAATATTACAACGAGACACTGACATAAGTAAAGCACTCAGTCGATGCTGCTAAATTCCAAACGGCAAGACATTCCACCTTAAGCCGCTCTGATGCGTTTATTGGTCGTCGGCCACGTACCTGGAGTGCACTGTTCAGGAAACAGCTGTTCTGTCCTGGTTCGTTGCTTAAACCTTTGCTCGGAGCAACGGTTGTCATTGTGTGTGGCGTCAAGATTCCAGCGACACCTCTGCCATCAGCAGTGCTTCCTATGCCGCCACCTGATGCAAAATAGTTCCTTTTCCATGACATCTTCACCCCACTGCCCCCCCTCTCCCCACAGGAATTAACTTCCTGCCATTCGTTCTTGTTTCAGAACAGATGGAGTCACTTCCTCCAACTGAGAGGATAAAAATAAAAACATGATGAAAAAATATGGATAGGAGACAGAAAAACAGGAAAAAGGTAAAATAAATAAATAAATGGAGTAGATTATAGAAGGGGAAAATTAGCTTGTTTTTGCAGATGATGAAAGAAAGTTTATAAATGGTGAGGCGCTTTTTCTTGATTTCAGGGATCAGTTCATGTTTCCAACAGTTTTTCTCTATTTTGCTGACTCCACCAACTTAGAACGGTGCAGGTAACATGACCTCATCTACGTCTCATCCTCTTCATCAGCTCATCTTCATTACAGGTCTGCCGAAAAAAAGAAATGCAGTGTTAGAGAAGTTTTACAGTATTGCTTTAATAATCCTTAGCTATAAGTTTAAGAACAGCTTGTTTAAGAAGAACATTCAGATTTTTTTCATGAACTTGAACTCAGACAACAGTACAGATACTTTAATTTCGGAAAGATTAGCTAATGTTATCAACAGCCTGGCTGTTAATCATAAGAAAATGATCAATAATTTAATCAATTATTAAAATGATTGATTGATAAGGAGTGATAAGAAGCACCTGAAAGCTTTAAAAAGTAATTTTTGTCATATGTCACAGGTCATAAAGAAACTTAAAAAAAGACCATCACCATCCATTAAGGCTGAAGTAAGCGGATGTACAAAACCTGTGAAGAACATTTTTTTGGATTGATTGGCTCAGCCACTAGCTTTCTTCCTCAATACAACATGAGTTTAAAAAAAGAGATCTAAGATCTAATTTAAAAAAAATAAATGAAGGGAAGTTTTTAAAAGGGTGTATTCACTTTAGACCAGGAGCAAAAAGCTCCTTCAGCCTCTGAGGAATGAAAATAAAATGCAAGTACCGTTACTTCTGACTGCATCAATGTGAAGACTGTTTTTACATTTTCTTCTATTTTTACTGAGGTTTTCTGTTACTTGAATCAGAAATGTGAAAATTAGCAAGCGGACAGGGAGGAGATGTTCAAAGAGGGGAAGATAAAGAGCAGGAGGCTGGTGGAAGCTGGTGGCTCCTAGAGTCTGATAGCGCTGATGTTTATGGGTATAAATCCTGTGGCCTTTCACAGCTAGTCTTGATTTTTCTTTAGATAACAGACAAGAGATAACAACTCAAATCTGACAGAAAAAAAAACATGGAATTATACCACAATACCATCATGAAGCTTTAACCCTTATTCAACTTTAAATTAATTTTTACAACTACTGATATTACTGATACAAAGGGAAATTAGATTTTTATTTACAAATGTAAAATATTCACATTATTTGATATATACGTACGATATCTACCAATTACCCAGAATGGAAAGGCAATGGTTTTTTTGTCCCTAGATGGCGCTAAATTATACATATGATTATACATAGACCTTTAAAAATGACCCTGCTTTCACATTCAGATTCTCTTTATGTAAAACTGAAGAATTATGGTTGTTAAAATATGAAAAAAAAAACCACGAGTCTGTGAATGTAAACACTCTTATAATGAAGGATGACTCGTTAAAAACCAAACGTTTACGGGTGACGAGAGCTTCGTTAATTCTCTGCTTTTAACGGAGTCTGGCGCAGCGACATGACGTCACCTTCTGTAAACTTAAATGAAGACAATAAGAAAAAGCGATTCCATGGTTTTCATCTCATATCGAAGAAAATTAACACGAATAACAACATCATTCTGTAAACGTCAGTAGTGGCCGGTACGGGAAGCTGACCGGGTCTTAAGAACTGAAAGAACGTAAACATGAAAGCCGCAGCGGCGGAGACAAATATGGCAGTTCTAACGGCTCACCTGTGACCTGAAGCCCGAGAAAGATGCAAGAAAAGAGGACAGAGACAGAGATGTGGCTCGGTGCTTTGAGCTTCGGTTCTAGTATTGTGACAGAATGAAGGGGGCGGGGCTAATACCTGCAGCAGTATGTGTGCGTGTGCCTGCTTGTGCGCACGTGTTTAAATCTACACATCTCAAGGAAATATTTAAAACGTGTTTTAATGAAATGTTTCTTGAAAATGTAATTTTATGTCAATCTAAAAGAATAAAGCGATATATATACGTGGAACACCATACAACTATTATATTATTATTAATAACAATATTAATATTGGACTTCATCTGTTTAAAGAAGCACACAACTTATAGCCACTATTTCTATATACACTGTTTGAAAAGGATTTCAATTTAAAATTAGTACCGCTACTTAATTTACAGTAGTAAATTGAATGGTTGTAGCTTAAAGAAGATACTGTTCTAGAGTTGTAATTGGGTCACTTTGTGTGATGATGTAATATAGAACAAAGAATTGAAACGAACAATACCTACCAACAATAACTACCAACTAACAATAAAAAACAACTTATGTGCAGTATTAAAAGATTTTGGTAAGAAAGAGGTACTACGTTTTTTCCTGCTAGAACAGGAACAACAATGTTTAAAAATGAATACAATTACAACTATATGGAGGTATTCTTGATATGTAAAGTTTTAGTTTATAGTTAAAATGTGTTGACGGAACAGATATTGGACAGATGTAGGACAGCTGTTTAGGTCACGATGTTGTTGAGGAATTATGATGACTTAAAATGTCAAATAAGCAATCGGCAAAAACATCACTCCGCATTTATACAGGCACAATAACATTAGCGCAATGTTGACCTTGGCCATGGCTTTAGTAGACTGGGTTAAACATTGTAATGCAAATGTCCCAGGCTTGGACACCACTGTAAAACAGAACTCGACTTCTGTCAAGACTAATTAGAGAAATGCTGAGGCAGGCTTCTATTTGACCACAGCACTTTCTAACCTGTGTGCAATGCTAAAGTGTTCGCATTTAAACAGCACATGGGAGAATTTGTATCTGAAACAAATTTTCATTGGAACAGGAAATGTTAGTAAATACCTCACTAGTGTCATCCCCGTTCTTTGTTTGATTTGGAAAGGAAAAAAGAATATTATACAAAATCTCCATGAAACAGGAAGTAAAATATCTGTCAATATTTCAAATTTTCCCAAACACTGTCCTCTTTGAACTTTGGAGTTAAATATATATGCAACTTCAAAGTTGGTTCAATATAAATTTGAAAATGTATAAACAGATTATGACGTGTTTTCTTAACTTTTAATTATTTTGTAAGCTAAATGTTATCAAATAGTTATAAGGTGCAGGCGTGTGTATATATATATACATGCAGACTAAAACTTAGTGTTAGAAGGGTGCTTTTTAAATTTAGTTTAGTTCAGAAGTTCCAAACTCACCTTGGTAAACAGATGGAGCTCCTTCTCTTGCTTCCTCTCGTGCATCACGAGTGTTTCCTGGCTTCAGACCTGTCAAAGACGAAGACCATGTCTCACTTCATCATCTGTTTGTCCTCTCTCAGGTGACTCAGCCTGACAATGACATCATCTTTCTGAGTACAAACACCTGTTCCCTCAACAGGAAGTTCCCCCTCCCACCAGCTGACATACTTCCTGGATTTCTTAAAGGGGACGTGTCATTTTTTTCTATGATTAATAATTGTACATGGTCAGACGTGAACCTGGGTTGTCCGTGTCCCTGTTCTTTCAGTTCAGTTGTTCACTTTGTTGACTCTGGATGTATTATGGTCCATCAGCATTTGCACTTACATGTACTACTAAACTGTGCTGTAAATTAATTCCCAAAAAATGTACTGGGAATTAATTTACAGCACAGTTTGCTGTAAATTAATTCCCAAAAAATGTATTTTCACAGATTTTAAGGTTAGTTTTCCTTTCATAAGAATTGCCAATACACAACCACTTAATAGATCATTCAATCAATCATTCTGGGTTGTCCGACTTCTGTTTTTATAAGACTCTGATCTTTTGCTATTCTGACAGAAAGGTTAGATGTCACAGGGATGTGGGTAACAGTTTATGGATTAGCAGGTTGTCCATCTGAACAAAAACGTTTTATTAAGTGATTCTGATGTTAAGTTCATCACTTCACTGTCAGTAGAAACCTGCATATACTACATACAGAATATACAGTTCCTTATGATGACCCAAGTGTCTCAATAGAAGTTTCAAAATATAGTTAAGGATATGCTATACTGGTGTCCTGAATGTCTGAGAGCCATGTCATTGTCTCATCCTAAAAGAATAAACAGTTTTATACCTTTCTCTGCATTAGTATGCAAGTCAGAAAGTGCTGACTTAGCAGCTACCAACCGCTGAACCAGATGTGCAGGTTATGTTGTGATCTTCATTGAAGAAAAAAAAAACAAGTTTGAAAGTGGTCATAGCAGCAGGGGGCGCTCCATGCAGTCTTAGGAGATAACTCATGCAAAGTGGAATCCGAAATTGTTCCTCAATAAAGTTGGAATTTTATTTCTTTAAAGCACATCTCATGTAGCACAGCCTACATGATCCTACTCAAAGGTCTGCAGGACGGGTTCATGTCCCGTCTCCTTGAGAAAACGCTGCAAGTCTTCTGGTCGGATCCCCATCGTGGCACTGTTCGTCATCGGGTGGAAGTAAACCATCGGGTGTCCTCCCTCCACCAAATCTTGGTCCAGGACTAACTTCACGCTGCAGTCTTTATCAAAAAGGAGAGCGAGAGCTGTTGCACAACCCTGACCCACCTGAGAAGTCAGAGGAAGAAGACATCAGGGGGTCCACAGACAGTGAAGGCAAACGGAGCGGAGGGAGGGATAGATAGATAGATACAATCAACTCTCAAATTTCTTTTTGTATCCACTATGGGTGTCTAGATATAGTGACCAATTCAAAAAAATGTACAAAAATATTCTGTCTTACTGGTACAATAGAAAATGATCATTCATTATTATTGGTGAGAGTGAATACAGACACCTGTTTAATGAATTATCCAAGGTTAGTTTTGGTTATAGACTTAGGATAAGTTCTCACCTTAAGTTTTTCCATCATGGTTGCCTCATCTGCAAAACGCAAGTTTCCACTGCCAACTCCAAGTTTCTTAGCGAGGTCATTAAGATTCACCTGATAAGGAGAAGGTTAGGGTGTGAAGTGGTAAGAACAGACAGAGTTCACACATGCTGTAAGAGCAAAGCACAGAACTATAGCATATAACAACTGTCTACACAAGAGTCTGTAAAACAGAAAAGCTGAAGATGAAAACTATAAAAGATGGCTGCTGACCTGACGATCATGACGGGCAGACACGAGCCAAAGGCTTTTCTTCTTCTTGTCTTTTAGGAAAAGGTTTTTTGTGACAGCTCCGGTAACATCCTGCAGGTGGGGCATCATCTCCTCCACTGTAAAGACCTGCAAAATGACCAAGTGAGTGGAGACCGTTTCAGAATAATCACTGGATGGTAACTTCAACTAGAAATAATTCATTGAAAACTAACGAGTGAAATGAGAGTGAATTAGATAGTTTAAACTTAACCAAAACCTTTAATAAAATTACATTGGTAACAGAACAAACGTCCCTATATGGGCACAGCTGTTTAACAGCTGTGCTAAAACAGCAATATATTTCTTCACGTGGATGAGTTTTGCGCCCTCCGTTGGTGACGGCAGCTCATTGCAATCCATGTCATATTTTAATTTTTTTCTTTCATTCATAAAATTATCTTCAAGAAAATAGAAAATAAATTGTAACATACAGACACTTATTAAACACTTGTTGCCTCGGGTTTTGATTCATGTCACCGAGATACCTTTCAATAAAAGTCAACTTTTGAGATCACCACGAGTCACGACCACGCACACATGACACTGAATAAACATTCACGACAATGAAAATGAAACAGTTGTTACTTCATCTGTTTTTCTATCTAAATAAACATGACTTCCAAATATAACTCCACGCCAAACTAAATAACTTTTTAAAAACGTGATTCAGTGGTGACGTTTCTACAGACGTTTCTACAGACAGGGGCTGCAGTGACTGAGAAAGCAGGCGATTCAATCTGTAAAGCACAAATCTCACCGGCGGATGTTCTACACAGCTGGTCTGGATGTTGAGGCTTTCCAGAAACCTCTCTAGTTCTGGCCGAAGTTCTGCTGACATGTTAAAATGGTTAGATTACATTTAAAATAAAATAAAATGTTGCTCTGAATAGCAACAGAAGAAACACAACCAAGAAGAAGAAAACTCTTCTTCGCGGATTATCGAATGTCAGCAACAGTGCCGCCCTGTGGAGAAAATAATTATCTTCTGCTACAATACTGCCATACATGAAATAGAAAGTATCTGTTAAAGGAATTCTGTCATCAATGACATTTGTGTTTGACCTTCAATTTTTTTTTAACTTTTTCAATTATTTTGTTAATAATGGTATTAACTGCAAGAAGAAATACAATTAGTAAGAGTAAGAAAAGGGGGAGAGAGACTAAGACTAGATAACAAGAGATTTCTGATACTTACTAACTGGGGTTATATGTGCACTGAGTGACGCTAAATGCGCCAGAAATACATTAACAACTGGGGTTATATGTGCACTGAGTGACCAGCCAGTTCAATTAAACTTTGTACTGTGTATGAAGGACAGGGAGGCTAACCTTAAATGTAGAGAGGGTGTTAGCCCCCTTGACCTTCACTTTGTACTTCACAGTACAAGTTTAATTGAACTGGCTGGTCCCTCACTTAACATTCCAACCCAGTTCTTGATGTATTTTTTGGCACATTTAGCCAATTTTCCCGCACAGCTGAGAAAAAAAGATGAAAGGTCATCTTTGATCATAATCACAGATCAAAGAAGATGATGTCACAGCCTTGACAACACGACGATTACTTAACAATTAATGACAAACCTGTTGATAAACCTGTGACATTCAAATAAGGATGGAATCAGAGGCCATCAAGGAGGAGGCCACGGAGGAACCGATTGTAAAGGAAGAAGAGCAGCCGTTGGCCATCAAGGAGGTGAAGACAGAGGCGCCGGCAGAGGGGCCCAGTGAGACTTCCACTGCTGAGAGGGCCAACAGGGGTGGTAAGACCAGCAAAGGGGACAAGGCTGTGACAAAAAAGTCATCCCGCCATGTTCATTTTGGCTCCGTCAGCACACACAGCATTGACGATGACCAGGCCTTTTACGTAGGAAGGACTGGTTTTAGGGACCTGGGCTCATGCACATGGTCGTTGTGCAGGGAGTTCAGAACCACACCAAGGTGGTTGGAAAATATATTAATTGTTTCAAAGATTAATTTGGTAAAAAAGCCTCCACCGCCACCTAAGCCGGTCATAAAGTACCCAAAACTACGTATGATGGAGGACTAACAGTCAGGGGAGTTAGATTGTCAGCTGTAGCTGGGTTCTGATTTCAGCCCTGATTTTGTTCAGAGTCATAGAAAGGGCTGAGCTGAAAGGTCACATGAAAAGGAACATGTCTGTTAGCTTCACTCCTTCCAACTGTCGAGTCCAAAGTCTAAGGTGGCACTGGGATCAACGAGCGGACTTGTCAGAAAGCATCCACACTACATCCCATTGCAAGATACTCGCAGAAGCTTTTTTTTTTTCACAGGTGGTTTTGTTTCTTTAAAGTCAGCCTACATTGTAAATCAGGCCTTTATGACATCCCCCAAACCAAGCAATGGCCAAGAAAATAAGATAGTGATAAGATAGAAAAGCATAGAAAATGTATAGGAAAATATTGTAAAAAATGTCAGTTGGGTATAAGGGATAAATATTAGGGTTAGTTTGTCCAAAAGTCGTCACACAGAGGCATCAGTTTTAACAAAAAATTCAAGATTAAAATATTTCTTGTTTTTTCAGCTTATAGGAAAAAAAACTGCATAGAACACATACTTGTAACAGTAACACGACAAGATAGTGATATAAATCTTTGATTATACTTCAGATCATATGACCAGAGGACAACAGTGTAAAATGAATATAACTACCTTAAGAAACCTGTCTAAACTATTCACTAACTAAGGCAAAGTACGGTTTGTTAATGAGGGTCGTGTTCAGATAATGGTTTCACTTTGTTGTATCAAAACAGTTCAATACACAACAGTGAACATTTCCCATCCTCTCTTTTACGTAAATGATGCAATGTTATTTGCATAAACGCAGCACAAATCAGATGTTGAATGAATTTAAGCAAATTACTTTTAACCATCTTAAACATTTCGTAAAGTGTTCAAACATTGACCATAACCCTGTACTGACGGCAGAGTCGGTATTGTAGTGTGAAAATAGTGTAGTGTGAAAACTCGGTAATTCACGTATCTATCGGATAATATTGTATTTGGAATGACTCAATTTATACAGAGCATTCGGGAATCTCAAACGTTCACAAGTCACTGCCTATTATTATCCACTAGAAGGTGCTAATATGCAGCTCAGTTCTTTGAGGCAGCGTTGATTAGAAAGCTGTTCATTTATTCTGAGTAAAAACTTGGTTTTTCACGCCGTTTGGACCAAATTATACAAACATTTCAGTCAATTTCTGCATCAGATAATCAACTCAAATTAATATATTTACAGAGAAAATGTAAACAAAGCAGTAAAGAGCTTGTTTATCTAAAATATCAATATAATATATTTACTTTTAACAAACTTTAAGTGTGTACGTTGTTCTTCATTTTTTAAATATAAAAAATATTGAACTCAAAAGGCAATTAAAAGTTTTGAAGACACTTAAGTAGCAATTTCTTCAAAAGTATGTCTGTCAGGTTGCAGTTATTTAATGTAAAATGTCATGTTATTTTGTAATTTTAAATTATGTAGGCTTTACCTTTACTTTACTTTACGTTGTTGTTGTTGATTGTCTTTTATGTGATTGTTTCTCCAGGATGAGACTCCAGACCAAAAGGTTCAGTCTGTATTTTACACTACTCATCAGTGAAGAGAGCACAGCAGAAGTTACTGCTTAAGGAGGAAAGATAAGAAGCAGGACTTGAACAGTGCATTCTACCACAGGTTTGTCCCTCACCCCTCCTCCCAACCCAGGAAGATGTCGACTTAAATATATATTTTTTGCATTTGTTGAGAAAATGTTGCAAAATGAAATATAATTTTTTGAAACTTGGCTCTGCTGTGAAACATTTATTCTGAGAAAGTGAGAAAGTCTGATATCCTTTTTAACAGAAAGAAAAGTGTTCTGTGATGAGAAAGCTATAAAACATCTGCAGATAGGTTACTAAAATATGTTAAGAAAAAAATCACTGAAAAGGTCAGCTAGTTTAGCAGGTTACTAAAATATGTTCAGAAAAAAATCACTGAAAAGGTCAGCTATAAAAAACTAAAATAATATTACTATTCTTAATATTAGCCTGAATTTAGCATTAGCCCAAAGTCAGAAATGACCTCAAATCAGCTAGCATGTCCATCGTCAGATACTTCTGCTCTGCCCTGATGATGATGATGAAACACTCCTGAAAACATATGGTAGTGTTTATTTGCTGCCCACTATCATTCAGACTACATACATGTCTATGTAATGACAAAAATGTCCCACAGACCTTTATCTCCTAATGTACCCAGTTATCACCAACCACACTCACTATTCACAGCTGTATTCTAACTGCACCAATCGTCCAGAAACACAATGTCACTTCAATTTTGGTCACCTTTAGGAATATTGGGCAAAAATAACAGCAGCAAATATACACACACCGGCCCACTGGGTGCATACATACAGGCCTCTGTATGTCTGTGGCCATGTCCAGTGTGGACACATAGAGGAAATTCTTCCCTCCCAATTTCCAGGGACTGAACTGGGAGTGACCTGGTTGGCAGACACACAGCCCCAATGGAAGGAATGTAACTTAACTCCCTCCTCATCACCCTCAACTATCCCCTTCCCATCCAACCATCCATCCAGCAGTGCACTGGCCCAGCTGTGTGAGAAGAGGGAAAAAACACAGAGTTGTGTTGGGGTGAGAGGGCTGTATTTATCTCCAACACTGGCATTTAACCCCACACTGTACATCTATGTGAGGATTAATGTAAAGTTAAAGGAGTAAATACAGTAAGAAATAATGATTAAAACAGTGTAAATCTTGGGACATTGTACATAAAGAACCACCTTTTGCTATTAACCCATTAGGCACAATATATTGTGACTGATAAAGACGACACAGATTTAACCCTTAGTTGACCTAGAGCACCTCCACACCTACGTTTATCTTGAAAAAAATCAGCTGAATTTGCAAAACAAAAGTTCCTGTTTCCAACATACAGTTGTAATTTTAAATACTGTACAATATATTATATACAATACTTTATTTGTAGATTAGAAATACAGTATATTGTGTCTGTAGATGTACACATAATACTTAGGCTCTCACTATGTGGTATTTACATAGTGACACTATGACACCAGTTTGCTGCAACCAACCAACGATGTAATGAGTTTAGGCTCAGTGACTTTGGTTGGCTTTGTAATCACTGGTGAATGGACCTGAGTCAAAAACTAAATCAGTGTTTCCCAACATGCTTCCCAAACCAAAGGGTCTATGTAATAAAATATAGTAATATTCTAGTTTAAATGTACTCCTGTTTAGTTGACAGCAACACCGATACCCTGGCAGGAATTGAAGAAAGAAAGCTCTCATTAACTTTTTTTAGTTTTCAAAGCTATCTGCTGCCACCAAGCAGATGGCTTTGACGAGCAAAGAAAAATTATATGATTTATAATTATATAAATTGGATAATTTTCCGCAGCACACCTAATGATCTCTAATGGAACACTCATGTGCCAGGGCACAGTGCCTGGGAATCACTGAACTAAATATTTAACTATGTCAGATACTGGGGGAAGGCAGGCTCAATTGTTGGTCAGTTTCTCACTTAAACATCAGTACACTGGTCCAAGGCGTTACTAGATTTGTAGGAAAATTGTTCTTTTCGGCAGACTTGACTGCATCAGTAAAGTTCAACATACCTGGTTTGGACAGCTGACTTCTGGACCGATGACTGGTGTGAATGTCACTGGGAGCTGCACTCCTCAATCATTTTGGCAGTGCTCAGTGGGACATCCAAACTTCATAGGAGCTGGAGGTGATGGAAACACGTCATCCAAAGGTTCCTGTGGTGCTGAGGCATTCCACTGGGATGTCCATTGCTCTCACTGTCATCTCTCCTGACATCAATGGTTGAAAAGAACTGAAGTGTTCGTTTAGGGCATACGTGTCAAACTCAAGGCCCGGGGGCCAAATGCGGCCCGCCAAGCCGTTTTGTGTGGCCTGCGGGAGCTTAACCTGAGAAATTAAAAGCTTTTTTTATTACATCTTTTTTTTTTAATCGATCATCTTTAAATAAAGAAAGTAAATGGATATGACTGGGCTTTTTCTTTGAATGAAGTAAATTAGGAAAAAATTAAGCATATTTTTTAACTATGTCCCACTGCAGCCTGCTACCAAATGACCAATGGACCGGTACTGGTCCGCGGATCGGGCGTTGGTGACCCCTGATCTATACAGTCTTCCAGTTACAACCGGCCCTTCAAGTGGAACTGTATTGCTGATGTGGCCCCCTGGTGGAAATGAGTTTGACACCCCTGGTTTAGGGAAAGGCAAAATACAACGACTCTGGTATGACATGAACCACTGAGCGATAATGCAGATGATAGCAGGTCTGTTACAACCACATTGTAGTGTATGAAGTGATGAAGCATCTGCTGCTGGGGGGGGGGGGGAATGGACCCCCCCCCCCCCCCCCCAAAAAAAAAAATGAAATTTTGCCCCACAAAGGCTTGGGCCGGCCCTGGACATAAACACGACTTTCATTACGAGACACATGGCCGTTATGTGTGTTACATACTGCAGACGGCTAGCTGAATAATTTATGTAAAAACATGAGAGTGGCATAAAAAACACCTTTATTTATCCTTATAGAAATAAAACTTTTTTCTTCCTTTTAATTGAACTTGTTGTGTAGCTCAGCTCAGCTCAGTCTCTGACCACTGGGCCAGTGTGCAGGCTGCAGTGGGAACCACTGCGCCCATTATGACTCAGCAGATGGTGCGGTATGCATCACCACCCTCTGAGTGCCATGTGCTTGCGGCAGAACTGTGTGTTCTCTAATGACAGTCCACTCATCTAGGCCGTTATATTAGCCTGCACCTTGGGAATCTCATCTTTCTCAGATACAGACAGGAAGCCAAGAATGCCAGTTTTGTACTGGACAGGTCGTCCTTGCTGCTGCGGAGAAGACTCCTTCTGCACGTCAGCATCACTGTATATCAAACACTCCTCTGTTTACACTGTAAGGACTTGAAGAAGTTACTTGAGAGTTAATGCGCACGCAAATTAAAAACTATCGAGTTAATGCGCACGCAAATTAAAAACTGAAAGTCACGATTTGTCTTATGCAACACTGAAGCTGAGATTACACACTCAGGACTGAGATCTAAAACACTGTATTTTGCCGTTTCTGTTCTAGATTTATAAAAAATGTGGCGTGTATTGTTAAATGATTGCGATAACAGTGGTATGTGGCAGCTTGCCCTGTGAATAGGCTTTAAGATTCAGCTGTTTGGCAGTGCAGGACTGTGGATTTGCAGAGCTGTTGTCTGGATGCCTCCTTTTACTCCAGACTCCCCTGGTGGTGTCTTCTTTCTCCTACCGACAGTCTTTTATCTCAGGCAACTCAGTCCCTGCCAAACCCTGCCACCCTACCTCATCCACTGCCCCAAGGAAAGAACGAGAACTGGCATCGAAGGCATAATTATGTTCTTTCTACACGTCCGTCCTCATTTTGATTCATTTACAACACATGATACCGACATTGGTCAACTTTGAAAGTTGAACAAAGTTAGCGTACTTAAAAGGGACGGCAACCCAGTACAGTGGCAGTTTTGTATCAAAAATGAAAAACAGGATAATAATGAAGTTGTTATTGTTATAACAGAGCAGAATAATTCCACAGCTTGACTTTTGTGCCAGTTCTGCTTCAGACTTCCACAACTGACTCAGATCTCACCGGACTCAAACACCCTGTGTCCCTGAGCTGTTGGTTTTTTGGAATGGAATCAAGTGTATTTCATTCCAAGAAAGAAAAACATGGGTTTGTTTTGATGAAGTTGAGCCTTGATTTGAGATGCAAATGTACGGAGCACAAACATGTTTTTTTTTAACATAAATGGTCAGCTGAGGACCATCACAATGAATTTATGAATTTGAGCTCCTAACATCTTTCCTAAAATTCTTTGTGATTCATATATATTAAAATATATATATTTTGTAATCTATGATCATAGAGAATATCATCTAACTGTAAATACTAGGCCACTAGGGGGTGCACAGGAATGAAAAACGTGATGTAATCTATTCTGATTAATCTTCCCAAAATCTATTTCCATTAATTGTCAAACACTTCTGTCTTTTCTTTTTGTCCAGGCTGGACCAACTTCAGGGCAGTGGTGACCATGGTGATGGCCACTGGTCTGAATGTCCTGCCTGCTGCCTTCCCTGCATGCCTCTGTGACACTAGGTTATATAATGGTCATTGGTGCTAAGCCTGCCCTGACCCCCTGGCACACTGCAGTCACCTAGCTGAGTGGACGCCTGTTTTTCAGCAGCCTCATATACTGGTAACGCCACACACACATTCTTACACCCATGTAGACATGCATGCCTCCCAACTTAACACACGTGTAGGCCATATTATAGCTCACACGCTCATGCACTAACTCAACCAGGTTCAGCACTAATATGCACGACCCCCAGACCTACATACTCTACCTGCTGCTAATACAGTGCAGAGTGCAGTCCAGTTCACAGCTAGTGGCTGTAGTGGAACCCAAAGGAAAGAAGAATGAAAAGGGTTGGTTGGAACTATGTACAAAAATTAATGAATTATCAGATTAAAATCTGATGCAGCAATGTGATACTGCATGAGATTTTAATTTGACAATTATTTCTAGCTCCATAATTATTATTAATAATATTATTTTTAATAACCCTAATCTAGTCCTCTGGTTAATTGTTTCTGATGTGGGTCTGGATAACAGATTGAGTTTTAAACTCACCTCGATATGGAAAGTTTGAATTTCAAATCTGGTTCAAATCTCAGGATACTGATGCAGTAATGGCTGCTCACCACCTTGCTGACACGGTTCTGCCATTTAGCCAACATCTCGTCCTGTAGTGTGAGGCAGCAACCACTGGTGGCAGGTGAAGACCAGAGGAGTAGAACCTGCAGTGTGATGGAACATTCAACAGTCAGAGTTCTAGTTCAGAGCAGGGGAACGGCCGTTAATAACACTTATGGTTCATGTAACACAGATGACTTCATTTGACACATTTTTTTTTAGCAACGCAACGTTTTCTCTGGCAAAAGAAAAATCCCATTATAAAACATAATGAGCTACGGGCTTCATTTTCTGACCACCCATTATGAGGCGATTACAGCACTTTTGCTATCGGTCAGTAATGTGTTTTGGTTTGAACCGGAGGAAGATATTAACCTCTCATAACTAATTTTTTCCCCCTGTGAAAAATGATTAGGAGGAATTTTGAACTGTTTCCACAGTGTGTTATTTCCCCACCAGTACTCTGATGGAAGAAACAAGTATTATGTTTCTTCCATCAGAGTACTACGCATACTTTATTGTCAATTTAGAATATGATTTTTTAATCAGGCTTTTAAAAGACAATAATGAACTCATTAGCGCCATCAAGGGCCGTTTTTGGAAATGCCAGTGGGCCACTCCAATCTCTGCTGTAAATCCATTTGGTTTAACTCTGTTAAAAAAATATTAAATGTGTTAAAAGAAAACAAGAAAACTTTAAATACTAAAAATGCAATGTCAACAACACCATTTATGTATTGTGACCCATAGAAAAATGCAGTATGGTATAAATTTAAGAAAGTTACTACATACTTGGAATCTAAGTATTGCATGATGTCTTTGATTATCTGTGACCATTCCAGAGGAAAGACTGAAGCCATCATTTTAAAATTTGGGAACCATTAATCCATGAATATTTACCATCTTCCACATCAGATAAATAATAACTACGAAATAATTATATCAACATTCCTTTGTGGCAGAGCTAGAATGAATCCAAAGACAACAATCGACTGCTGTGTTTACTTGCAGTCTTTTCTTGTGTAGTCAATTAATGAGCACAGAGGCCTTGAGTTTGTGGAGGTTTCTCATGGTGCCAGCAGCAACCACGCCCAAACTGCTGGAACAAGGACAGAAGCACACAGCTGGGAGGGAGCGAGGGAGGAAGGGAGGCAAAGAAGTGTCAGCGCTGCTTACACCCCTCACAACACCAGCACAAATACATGGAGAGAAAGAAGAGAACGTACAGAGCAAATATAGGGTGCAGCGAGACTCGTGGCTAAAATGCACCGCACTGTGGCTGAGTGTGCACTTTTAAAAGCAGCTTTAAATGCACATTAGTAATTAAGAATAGTTATGGGGTGAAAGCCCAAGTGTGTGCACAAGTTTGTGTGAACAGGAACAATGCGACTATTTATACGAGTGGGCGGGCAGCCTTAAACAAGGGCCTTTAACATATTGACCATGTGACCCGCTTGAGCTCGGAAAATCTCTGGTATCTCTTGGGTTCTGGTTCAGTGATGGTCACAAACACAAACGTGTCCAACTACAGAGACAAAATACTTTATGTTCTGGGTTTTACTACTGAGAAACTGACTGATTTTGATCTGTTAAAAATGAAGAATTTTGTAAAACAATAACTCAGTCCCTAAATAATCACACCGGAAATTTAAAGAAGGCCACAAGGAGTGTATGGTTGTGTGTGTTAATCTATTCTTTTTTACCTTTGTTAGGAAAGTTGATTGGATGTCTCAGCTTGAATGCATGCAGTACAAAGTAGACCCAGTTGGTGGCGGTAACCTATAATTTTAAATTATTTAAATTTAAATTTTATCGATGGGGAAGTTGTTGAAATTAATCGAATTAGTGAATATTTTAGAACTGAAGTAAAATCTCCTGTAAAAAGTTTAGTGCTTGGTTCAGGTATGTATTTCATGGGGTTTATTTCTTATAACCAGTCGGAGTTCATTAGTGTTAAAATACTCTTTCTTGTATTCCTGCTTCAGGAAGTGCATGTCTCTAACTAGGGCTATAAACTGTTAACTGCGCCCCCTGCAGTGAGAGGAGGGGAAGACATCTTGCCATAGTTTCTTCAATCGTTTAATTATTAAATGATGTAATTAACCACAAACCTGTCATTTTTTTAAAATTACATGTGTGTCATGGAACCTCCTCTGTTTAGTGACCTTTGACCTAGGGGAATGGACCTGCCCGTCCTTTACCCTATTCAGGCAGTGATGTCATTCCCAGTGCAGAACAGGCCATGCTGGAAAAAGGGGCCTGAAATAAGAACTGAGAAACACGGTCCAGTAGAATAATTATATGAGAGAGGGAGTGAATCAGGAAATAACTTTTGGTTTGGGAAACTCAAGAGTTTTAGAGAGCGCTGCCATGCGCTAAATGAAAACAGCATCTGAGGAAAAAAGGCAGAAAAAGACAGAGAATGCGAGAGTGAGAGAATGTGAACGAAGCCCAAATTGCTGCTGCCATGCTGTTTTTAAATGTTTCAGAGCAGCATTCAGCAGCACCAGTGGTCGGCGAAGAGAACATCTCCTTCCTGAGTCTTTGCTTTCCTAAAAAGTTTATTTTATTACTCTCCTACCCCGTCATTCCCTCATCAATCATCCTCCTCCTCCTCCTCCTCCCCTCCTTCCCTGCTGTCTTCTTCTTTGTTGGCTGGCAGGCTGTGGCTCTTTCTTTATTCCTCACACATTTTAATGGGTATCTTCCCAATCACATTTTTATTGCAGGAAATTTCAGAACACCACATTGCGTGAGCTGGAGGAGTGCTCCATTCTTAGCTCGGCACCGCTGACTGCTGGGGTGTGTTGAGCCTGCCAGTGTGTGTGCGTGCGTGTGAGTGAGTGGGGTAAAAAAAAAAGAGGGGGTGGGGGGTGGGAGGTGACGTGGAGTGGCGTTAGTGTCAGTTTGTTGCCAAGATCCACTCCCCCTCCTCCCCCTCCTCCTCCTCTTGGTAACAATAGTGAAGTCATGGCAGAAGATGGTGGGAGCCATTGCGAAAAAGACCCTCTCCTCTGCTAGACAAAAAAAAACAATCATGCTGTTTCTGAGTCACGACAGAGTGGCATAACTTCCCAGGAATTTTTACTCAGAATCAACTTCTAACCCCCTCACCCTCACCCTCCCTACAACCACCACCACCCAACCTTTAACTCTATTTCAGTTAGCTTCAACCCCTCACCTCTACTCACTTCTCTGTGAAAAAAAGGCCGCGGTTTCAGGCCTGTGGTTTAATTGAAATAATATTTGCTGTACTCCGTTGCCTGCCTGGCTCTGTTCCTCCTTAACAACAGACATATTTTTAGCCGCTGTACCGACTTCTGTCATTTCCTGTTGCAGTGTTCACTGTGCTTTTGACCACAAGCAGACCTAAACACTCTGGGCCCTGTGCTTGGCTTTCACCATCGCACCATTCCTCACACACCCCAAACACAGTACGTCTGGAGTGAACTGTCCTCGTCTTTGTGCAACATCCAACCGCAGAGTTAGACCATCCGACGCTCGGCCTGCGGGTTTTCCATTGCTTCTTAGCGAGGATGTCACTCAAGAAACTCTGATGGAAACAAGCATCTCAATAAAGGTCTTCAGTTTCATTCTCTATTTCTCCTGAAACATTGTTGTTCAACACTAAAACAAATCCTGCAGAGATCTGTCAGCGCTGGCCACAGAGTACACTACTCTGACCCCAAGTCACCGTGACCCCAACATGCAGAGTGAAGCAAGACAAAATATGGACAGTAGACTATACAGACCAATCCAAAAATATACATTCAACAGGGAGCAGAATGGCTGTGACAGCAGAGCTGCTGCAGCTGCAGTAGGAGGTTCGATGACTGCACACTGATTCACCACATCATCTTGAACTCAATATGTCACGGAATGCAGTGAAATGAGGAATAAGAGGTAGCGGCATACAAATATTGTTGCAGTTCCAGTGTTAGGTTCTGGGAATGTTGAGTAAGAAATCTGTAAAGTAACTCAATTGGTTCTTGCAAACAAGTACTGTGAAGTGTTTCCCCTCGGATGAAAATCTGACAAGGATTATGGCGATTAGACATTCAGAGTGAGAGAAAAATTCAGCCAAATTCAGAGTCTGTGACCTGGTCTCTCCAGATGTCCTACCACAAAAATTGAAATGGTCATGACCTTGGAGAACAAAAACAGTCTTGGAAATTCTTTGACAAACATCTGACTTTTTTTTGTAGTATTTTTTAATGTCTTGTGAAGGAGATGAAAAGGAAGAGGTTTTTTATTAATACATTTCTGTGCATTGTAGCTTCTTTTAGCTTTTTTTTAAATTTTGATTTATTTTTTATTTTTTAATTTGAACTTATATAAAAAATCTAGCCTAAATAATTTGGAAACGTATATTTAAACGTGTAATTAAAGAACACTTATAATAAGATAATCACATTTGTATTAACATGTGGCATTAATCTAACTACTCTTATTAGTGGCTCTCAGCTGTTTAATCTTCCCCACTCCATAAAAAATAAAAAAACCAGATGAATGGTGTGTTTGTTAGGAATCATTTGTCCATTTTGATTATTCCACACTGAGGTGGAACATTGGGGAAATCACTCTAAATAAACTGGAGAACAGTCCATACAACAGCTGTAAGATACAGGTTTGCTATCATACACTTAAGAACATGAAAATATTTTTACTCTGCAGAACTCACCATTTGATGCAAGACCGATCCCTACTACAGGAAATGTCTCAAAACAGTATTTAACATTAATATAATAAATTCATATTTTTTGGAATCATCCCGATCACTCACCCCCCCATACACTACCACTGGTGTGACCTAAAAAATTAAAGTTTTTAAAAACTTTATAGCTTTTTTGAGCACAAAGCTAATCCTCCACGCAAATTACATCAAGCAGATGGAGAAGGTCTTGCAGGTAAATTTCTCTAAATACTGTTCACTGATGTAACCAACCGCTCCATTAGCAGCTTCCAGGCAAGATGCAAATAAACTCCCCGGTGAGGGAAAGCCAGAGGGCTTGAAAACTTTTCCTTGTGGAACAAAGTTCAAAGAAAGAGCAAAGTGAATTGCAGCTAATTCAAAAATAATGCAATGTTTTATAATGTGTGTCCT